TCAGCAAGAGAGTGCGTGATGTGAAGGTGACCTTTTTCTCCAAGGCTGGTCAGGTTAGCTTCCAAAATCTGAAATCACAACTGGGAATAGCTGGATGTTTGGGTCTGTACCTGGACCCTTGTAGAAATACTCAAGGTCAAGCAGGCTTCTTGCTTATTCAGCTTTTATAATGCTCACTGGTTGTACTTGTTTGCACCCACAGATCTCAAAACGCTCCCCTTGAGATGCAGGAGTCATGAGTCCTATTTGCCATAAGAGGAAGAAGAGGCACAAAGAAGAGAAGGCACATGCCAAAGCTCCCTCAGCAGCCCAGTGAGACCTCAAAACTTTTCTGTCTTTACTCAATTTTCTGCTCTTAATGACAGCTCTGGTCCCCATTGCTGAACTCTGAAAGATGTGTCAGGCAGCCTAGCCTTGCAGCCGTGTGCTCTGAAGCTTACTTGAACAGCAAACCTAGGAGTAAATCCTTGTAATGTGAGCTAGACCATGACATGAAACAGTGTTAAGCATCTACAGATGTAGCAGCTGGAGCCTATCTCTGCTGGCAGTCAAGGGCAGCCCTGGAGCAGCAGGAATCATGTTTCCTGCTGCTGGGCCAGCATCGTGCCTGTCCATCTCAAGACATGTGCACGGGAGAGTGGAAAACAGCTGAGAGGTTGATAAGAAATACTTTAGGCTGAGATAGGGGACATGCTGTGGCCTTTTGTCACAGGGAGAGCAAAGCATGCCTGTAATCACATACATAGTTAGAAAAGGGTGCACAGGACTGGCTGCTCTGGCTCCTCCTGGCTGCTAGCTATCCATCCATCTCTGTGGACATCTGTACATATTCTAGTTTTCAAATCTTTCTCTCCCCTTATCTATCCATCTATCTTCCTGTCTATCCAATCACGTACCTCATCCCATACCATCACATTCCCCCCTTAGAGATGAGTTTGTAATGTGATTTGCCTTACTGCCATCTAGTGACTCAGTCCCATTTATTTCCCCCACCCGTTCTGACTGGGGACACTTCACTTCTCCTGAGGCTGTTTGCATTCCCAGGAGCACAGCTGGACAGCATTAGAAATTCCCACTTCAGTGCCTAAAATTGGCCACTAAAATCCCTTTTTGTACATCCCACAGCCCCACAGCTGGAGCAGATTCGCAGACATCACCAGCTCATTCATTCAACATGTACGAAACACCTTCCAAGAGTGGAAAAGTCAATAAGATCCCCTCTGCAGCCCGTTGCAACCTCCACACACGTATTTCAGAACATCCTGAAAAGGACCTTCAAGCCATGCTTATGCTGAGCAAGAAAGGCAGTGATCTCTCTTCAGGGCCTCAGACAGCAGCTCCTTTTGTTCTTGCATTTAACTCTGGCTTTAATTAAGGCATCCAAGAAGGTGTTACACTCCTGAGCTCAGAGACTGGAGACTCTGCAGGATCCCCTGGTGATCCAACTGTTTCAGGGGCTACAATTCATTCAGGATCTTGGACGAGTGTGTGGAACTTCATCTTATTTTCCTCTTTGCTGGGTTCTGTTGTGGTTGTGTTTTTTTTCTCATCTTCTTATAAAAGTCATCCCCATGAAAAAAATCAGTCTGTGATTTAAGTCTTAATATATTTTCCCTGTCATCTTGCAGGCTTGACTACAGCCTCCTCAGACCATCTAGCCAAATGGTTGACACAGCCCAGGAAATCAAAGCAACTTCCTTTTGCCATTGAGGGCACTTGGTATCTCTGTCCAGATTTCCCAGGCATCATTTTGCCTTTCTTCTTCCTCAAATTTCCAGCTCATGCCTTCCACGGTTCCCCAGCCCCTCAGTGTGATCCATGATACCATGCTCTGTATTGTGGTCCACCACCCCTTTCCCAGCCTGACATCGGGCAGGTGAACAGGAATACAGCAAATAATCAAGCCCTCTGTCCCTCCCTCCTCAACAGAAAGCTCCAGACTTGTATCTGTCAGGAATCTGCTCCGACAACATAAAGTAGTACAAAAAAAAAATACCCAAGGGATTTGTAGGTATTCTTATATTCCATGGGGAAATAGATGGTCTTGTCCATGCAATTAGATAAACTTGGGGTTTTATAACATCAGGAAAATAAAAAATACCATGTGCACACGATCCTATGGACAACTGCATGTTAAGGTATGTATAATAATTATAACGGGGCATGTTTGCCATCTTCAGGAGTCGAGCAGTAACTGCACACAAGCGTTTGACAAAACAGCAAGAAGCAACAATCGTTGCAAGGATACAGGAATTGCTGGGCTCTCACACAGCCTCAGGCTGCAGCCAAGCCCGTCTGGGGCATGGACAGGCTCTCAGCTGTGTGCATCTCCTTCACAGCACCACGAGTCCTGGACTTCGCTGGCAGCTCTGACACTGCTAGAATAAAGAATAAAAAGAAATAATAGTACTGGGAGTGTTTGACTGGCAGCAAGTCAGGCTGCTGAGGATGAAAAGAGCACTCACTCTTGCTTATCAATGACTTGCTTGAAGGAAGAAATATTTGGTTCAAGGCTTGGGTGGATTTGACGGGGGGACTAAGTTGTGCTTTCCCCTTGGCCCTGTTCTTCCCTAACACAAGGAAACAAACACTACAAGGACAATCGTAAGGGACTGAAACCAAAATAACCTTCAATACCTCTGAATAAGGAAAATCAGAGTCTGAGAATACATTGCTACTTTATTTATCCAGCTATTCCATAAAGGTTAGCTATAAATGAGATGTTCTGCAAATACATGATGAAGCAGAAGTCAATACGCACTGAAAGAAGAAAGAGCCCAAGGGGAAGCACTTTAAGATGCCCACAGAGGAAACAGGATTTGCAGAATCATCCCCTACACCAGAATCTCCACTGGTGTAAATCAGGGCAGCATCATTAGCTTCAGCAGTCAGTCCAGCTGACCCTCTACCGCTCATCCCACAGCCACTGATCAAGAGTGATGATCCACCAACACACCAGCACAGCTTCCTTTCAATTTGAAAAAGGGCCTGGTTTTCCTAAGAACTAAACTGTACAAGAGGAAGCTCCTGAATCATAGAATCATAGAATGGTTAGAGGTCCTAAGAACTAAACTGTGCAAGAGCAAGCCCCTGAATCATAGAATCATAGAATCATAGAATGGTTAAAGTTGGAAGAGACCTTAAAGATCATCGAGTTCCAACCCTTCTGCTGTGGGCAGGAACACGTCTAACTAGACCAGGTGGCTCAAAGCCCCATCCAGCCTGGTTTTGAACACCTCCAGGGATGGGGCAACCACAAATTCCTCGGGGATCCTATTCCAGTGCCTCACCACCCTCACAGTAAAGAATTTCTTCCTAATATCTAATCTAAATTTCCCCTCTTTCAATTTAAAACCATTACCCCTTATCCCAACGCTCCACTCCCTGATAAAGAGTCCCCCTGTAGGCCCTCCTCAGATACTGGAAGGTCTTTATAAGATCTCCCTGGAACGTTCCACTCCCTGATAAAGAGTCCCCTTGTAGGCTCCCCTCAGGTACTGGAAGGTCTTTATAAGATCTCCCTGGAGCCTTCTCTTCTCCAGGCTGAACAACCCCTACTCTCTCAGCCTGTCTTCATAAGAGAGGTGCTCCAACCCTCTAATAATTTTCATGGCCCTCCGCTGGACTTGTTCCAACAGGTCCATGTCCTTCCTGTGTTGAGGACTCCAAAGGTGGACACAGTACTCCAGGTGGAGCCTCACAAGAGCAGAGCAGAGGGGCAGAATTACCTCCCTTCACCTGCTGGCCACACTTCTTTTGATGCAGGCCAAGATGTAGTTGGCTTTCCAAGCTGCCAGCACACACTGCCAGCTCATGTTGATATTATCATCCACAAGCACTCCCAAATCCTTCTCCTCAGGGCTCATCTCCAGCCATTCTCCTCCTGACCAGTATTTGTGCCTGGGATCGCCATGTCCCAGGTGCAGGACCTTGCACTTGGCCTGGTTGAACTTCATGAGGTTTGCATGGGCCCACCCTTTAAGCCTGGCAGACTCCCTCTGGATGGCATCCCTTCCCTCCAGCGTGTCAACCGCACCACACAGCTTGGTGTCATCAGCAAACTTGCTGAAAGCTATTACTGCAAAGTCCCAAGTTCCTGAGATTTAAGAAAAACACAAAATATAGCAAGAAAACAAGGCAAATTGAGTTTAGCAGAGAGGCCGGGTTTCTTTTACGGTGTGTACTGAGAAGTGGTCAAAGGAAGTGAGGGATGGGAGAGGTCTCCAATCAATCCACCAAAGCAAACATTCGCACTTCAGGTTGGAATGTGGCAGAACTCACCCTCATCTGTAATGAGAAGTGGTGTTTTTTTTACAAGCCTGAATTGTTTACAGTACCCACTGGTGGGTTTAAGTGTAAAACCGTACCCAACCTATCCTAAGAAGAGGGACTGGCACACAAAGAGAGGCATGCCACAGCACAGACGTGGCAGATAAAAACAACACCAAACAAAGCCATCACAAAGCCCCTTTGGTTTCAACACACACGCACACAAAAAAAAATTTGCATTGGCTATTGTCTTTTCCTAGGCTGCAGACAAGATATATGAATAAAGGCAAATGAGCACCTGTACACCTGGAAGAGGTCAATGCACAGTATTTTGACCACATACCTCACTACCACATGCCACGAGTGTCACAGACACTCACATATACAGATGAATTGCTGGAGGTGTTTATTAAAAGAACCTTATGTCCTTGATTTAAACACAATAGCTCCACTCAAGATAGCAATGGGGGTGGAGAGCCTTGTTCACAGGGTGCAACCGCAGCCTCACTGGCTCTGGGGAAGTGCATAAGGCCAGCCTTGTTCTGAAGAATTTGGGTTTTTTTCCACTCATGTGAACACTTTGCCCAAGGGTAGGAGGAAAGGCGTGGGTGTAGTGGTGGAGAGGAGCTGCTGGTAACTCTGAAAGTCGCAGTCAGATTGGAGAGGCACCTAATGCAAATATCACCACCGCAAACCAACCCCTCCCTTGGTCCAGCCTCGCTCAGGTGCCTTCAGAGGGTGACCTTCTGGGCATGCCTGATTGCTTCCTCCCAGGGTATATAAACTGCCCTACGAGGAAACAACCCATATTCAGCACGAGAGAGACTATCCCAAAATGAAGGCTCTCCTTGTCCTCCTGCTGGGAGCGGTCCTGTGCCTGGACTCAGGTAAGACAGCACGGAGAATCTGCCCCACATCTCCTCCAGCAGGTCTTCAACTAAAAGAAAAGACTTGTGATGGGGTTTGGCAGTGAGGGAAGAAATGCCGACGCAGTTGTCATAGGAAGATATTGGGTTTTTGGTGGGGTGTCCTGGGTGTTGCATGGAAAAAAATGCATAGTTCCACTCTGCTGATGGTGTGACCCTAGTGCTGGGTAGTGCAGCTTCCAGGAAAGATAAATCTTATAGAAAACTGAATTTAATTAAAATCAAAATGCTCAATCAAATGCAGACCATATAGTTACATGTGGGTTTGGTTTTTTTTAAGTGGGCTGGGCGGTTGATTTTTCTTCTTCCCAAGCCATCAAAGGACCATATAGTTACGTGTGGGTTTGGGTTTTTTTTAAGTGGGGTGGGTGGTTGATTTTTCTTCTTCCCAAGCCATCAAAATTGCAGCATTTCTGCCAAGGTAAGTTTTATCCCAACTTGTTTTCTGAGTCTTCATTTCAAAAGTGACCTCTGATTGTCAGAATTTTAATAGAAGAGAAAAAAAGATAATGTCATGGCATGTTATTTTCTAAACTGGATGGGTGGGATTTGGACACCGTCACTTTTTTATTCTGGCCTGATTGGGAAAAAAATGGTTTTAAACCAGCTTTTTCCTATTGCCAGAGAATAGAAGAAGCAGATCTGAGCAGAAATGTTGCTCAGTCAGCTGAGGATGTCTAAGGAATAGGCAGAGAAGGGTCTCATACAGTCCTGGCCAGACCCTCTTATCTGCCAGCTTCTATCAGGGTGCTCTGAAATTTGACTTTCATTGCATTAAAAGTCAGAGAAATGTGAGAGTAGAGTGCAGCGCTACAGACAAACTAAGGTTTGGCTCCTTGCCTCTATGACTGCATCAGTCATTTATACCAGCATGGCTTGGCCAGAGGGAGACCAAGTGCTTCAAATCTCTTCTTGCTTGTTCTCTGAATAACACTAGTTTCTATTCCATGTTCTAAAAGAGTATGTTGGGCATTAAAGTATCGATTTGAGGGAGTCATGATCCAAGCCTGTGGTCATTGGGTTAAAGTACTTACATATACATCAGCTCTCACACTTGCAAGCTCCAGTGATGCCCTGGGGCGTGGGTAGGAAATTGGAAGAGGTAATTGCACCGTGTTCTCACTCCTCTGGGGACTATTTTTCACCAGGGTTAGTCACTTGTAAGCTGCAAATACTTATTCTGCCTTTGCTTGATGCTCACAACAGCACAGCAGATGTTAACAACGCTGACTTGCGTCCCCCATAGAGTGGCATGTCCTCGAGGGGGTGGGAACACGTGGTGACCTGTTTTTCAGAGGGAGACAAAAGCCGTGTTTGCACTTTGCTTTCTGAGAGGGGGTGATGGAGAGTACATGTCACAAGTTGGTCAAACTGAGACAATGGGCTGGAAGTGACCTTGTAAACCGCCTGCTCCATCCCTCCCTCCCTCACCCCCTCTTCCCTCTGGGATTTCCCTTTTTTCATCCAACCCTGGCAATGCTTCAGCTAAGGCTCACAAGCCTACCTGGTCAAACACTCGTGACTACTGAGGCAGGCAAATAATTGCCTTTCTGGGCACTTCATCCCTTCATCCCAGCTCAGGAAGAAGGAATGTCACAAAAAGCCTGTTCCAGACAGGAACTGATATAGACATCCCAAATGCAGAGGAAGAAGCATTTGGGAAGCACTTCCCATTGACTGACAAGACCAGTCAATGAGACCAGCTCCTCCCTCACTGCACTGACTACACCTGAAACAACTTCAGCAACTGCAAAACTTGACTCTCACCTCAAGCGAGTGTACTATTCTCCACCAAAAATGGGAAAAACGTTGCTTTTTGCAATACCAGAGGTGCTGTCTTCCTTTGAGGACCCACAGGAACATTTCTGTTTCCCAGTGCAAGCACTAAGTTGCAATCCCTAGAGAGCCTCAGATAGATCTGTCTTATAACCCCTCTTGATCTCTTGCAGGTTCCTCTTTGCAGTGTTACAGCTGCATGACACAGCTCAGCAACTCCAACTGCAAGAAGGAAGTGAGCTGCAAGGATAACGAAATGTGCAAGACAGATGTGATCAGTAAGGCAAAAAATGGGGTGGGAAATGTCTTAGTCGTGATGTCGGAACCAAGCATGGCGATAGCCTCAGGTGTCCAAGCCAGCCCCACCTACTCTAGTTATATCAGCTAGTTATAGCAATGTTCAGTGTGCAGCGGAGAGAGAAAAGCCATCTGGGGAGAAAAGGTGATAAAAAAGCTTTCGGATGACTGTCATGTTAATTAGAAATGACGCGAGGATAATGTTTATGCCTTGGTGATAACTGGTCCCTTGGTAGCAGTGCTGGCCATCACCAAGTCTTCTCCCCACACTGGCCAAGAGAGTATGATTACAAAGTCATGTTGTACCCCATAAATTCCTCAGTATTTGCCAATAGATAATTCTAAAAACTGAGCATTATGGCAAGTTACAAGGAATGAATCTCAGGAGGGTGCTGCTGCACTTGAGATTGCAAATACTTACCAATGTCTCTCACTTGTACAAAATTGGGTTTATTTCACTTTCATAACACCAAATATTATTTGCTTTCAGGGTCAATAGTTAAGTTTATGGCTTTGAAAAGTTTGGAACATAAATGTGAAGGGCTGAGTCTGGTGAAACCTAGTCATAAAGTCAGGAATATTCAGCGACAGAGCTGACTTTAGGTGAATTCAGTGAAAAAGACAGTTTCACCTAAGCCCTTCTTCAGCCAGCTCTGAATGCAGCCACCTCTGTGTCTCCGGATAAACTCCTTTAACAGATTATGATTTAATTCTCCCATTCTAGATCTGGCCAAAAAAAATAAGTTTGCCCTGTCCAGATCTGTGGTGACAGCTCAGTTGTTCTTAGACCTGGGGCACAAACCCCACCAGTGGCATGTTCAAACTCATCTTTGTCAGGCAGCTAATGCAATACCTCCAGTAGGCATTGTCCTTGTTGGAAATGTGCAAATCCATGGCCATGCATTCACATGCAGGAGAGCAGAGGCATTGTATAACCCACTAAATTTATACATTAAATTTGCATATGTCAAAAACTTGATGCCCAGAATAGATTGTGCAAGATCAGGAGATCTCATGCAGGCTCATCCCCCTGTACTCAGTACTGGTGAGGACCCATCTCAAATACTGTGTAGAGTTTTGGACCCCTCCATAACTTCCTGGGTGTTGAAAGGCTCCATGCAACAAAGAGGGATGGGATGGGAACAAAGATTACGCCATAGGCTTGCTCCTCATCCACTAGTATTTTAGGCTTCCCAGCAGAGGTGTTAATGGCTTCTTTCATTATTAATTAAATTATTAGAATTTATGCAGTTAGTCCTGTTTTAGAAATCCCTAGGGACTGTGCTGGGGAATACACTGCCTTAAGCAAACCATCAGGGACTGAAGTCCTTTGCCCCCCCCGCTGACAAACTGACACCTCAAAGAAGTAACCTGCCACAGTAAAACATGTAGCTGTTTGGAAACACTTCTTTTTTTAGTTTTTCTAAGAAGTGAGCTCAGATAAGAATAGCGTCTCGTTGTTCGTTTCCGTGAGGCTTGGCTTGGCCTGCATTGAGTCCTTGTAGTAACGGTCCTGCTTTTGTTCCAGGGATCGCCGGGTTCTTCAACATCATCAACAAGGGCTGTGACGCATCATGTGAAGCAACCTATCAGGACTTCAGCGTGGGCAACAGGAATATCACCTGCTGTGACACCAACCTCTGCAATGTCAATGCAGCGGGCAGCCTGAGGTCCAGCTACGGGATAGCAGCAGGGATCGCAGCCAGCCTGCTCTGGCCCTTCCTGAACAACAGACTGTGAGGAGCAAAGAGGACTCCTGTGACCCCAGAAAGTCTTGGAGCGTTCCTCTTACAGGAATTGTAACCAGGAGCAATGCAGTGTGTTGGACACACAGCATCCTTGGAGCTGATGGCAGACCTTTGCCGTATGATAGCTTCCTCACCACTGTTACTGTGTTTCCATAGTGCTACCAGATAAGAAAATGTGTGCATGCTACCTGAATAACACCTAAAATATACTGATTTCTGAATTAAGCATGAGTTTGTTACCCGTCTGTCACTTCGTTATGTGTTTCTGCACCCAGCAGTAATTGCAGTGGGTGTGTTGCATGTCTGGCCAAGGTTCAGTCTTGGTCATTGCTATGTAATGATGATACATGCCAAGAAGTACCATGGCAGAGCAGGATAGAGGTGGCATCTGTACCTCCAAAGCTTAAAGGGCTGTAGCTTATGACAAACTCTGGAGGGCACACACCCCAAGAAAACCCATGAAGTGCAATCACACCTCCAGGGGATCTTGTTATGACCTGGAAACCCTGGGACCCTGCACTTTGTTAAAGTAGTGCTCACCTTCTTGTGGGCAGGATTGCATACTCAAGTATCTGGAGCACCATGGTGAGCAGTAAACATTGGAGAGAAGTGGAAAGGGTGTCCCCATGGTGTTCTGATCAAATGATCCAATTCTGGGATTACCAGTCTCCATCCTGGCCATAGCAGCATCTCTTGAAGGTTCCTATCTCCCATAGGTAGGTTCTCAAGCTTTCTTCTCCAAGTTCCTCTTTGATCCGTTCCCCATGGCACAGCCTGGGACACAGGTCCTGTCATAACATCGAAAAGGTGTTTATCTTACAGGTTCTGTGGGGTTGCCTAGCAGAGGAGGGACAGTGGAGAAAGTAAACATCAGAGCTTGCATTTTCCCCTCTGGTACCTTGATTATGGAGGTGAGCACACACCTGTGGACACGCACTCGCTTTCACCCCCATTTTGAGGAGTGCAGATGAGTTGGGTGAGACTGGTGTTTCCTGAAGAATTGCTGAGGTCATGAGGATACCCACAGAGCCCTTTATTCCCTTCCTTATAAAAGGAATTTCCCTTGTTCACCCACTAATCTTTCCCCATTCCTGGGACTCCCTGCTGAAGCCAGAGTGGCCTTCTCCACTCATCACATATAGAAGATGAAAATGTGATAAAGGAGCAGCTTAGTGTAACCTCTGGCACTGATAGAATCGTGTTTTGCCCTTTAATGGTGTAATGAATGCAGCAACCATGCCAGCTTCAAATATGTGGAAAACCATTTTAAGGGCTCTCTGTTAGTGATACCAATGAAGTGTCTGCGTGCAAGGCAGACCCCATAATTTTAACACCTCTCCTATACAGATATAGCCCCTCTATATAGTTACAGATTCTAAATTATAGTTCGCCTTCTCCAGATATTTTATTTTATGGATATAAACTTGAGTGTTTCCACTTTGCACTGGGAGATCCTGTATAACGTTTGGCACCAGCAGCAGAGAAAGGACCATACAAAAGCTGCCTAAAAGAAACTCTCAAATAAGACCTCCAAGCAACACATATGTAAAGAGATCTGAAAACCAAGGTAGGAAACATTCTGGAGAAGGCCACTGTTGTCACATGTGCCTCCTCCCAATACACAACAAAAGAAGACAAGGCTGGTATCAGCAGAGTGTACAGACGGGCCTGGGAGTGCCCTGAGTGGGGGTGACAAGACAGGCTGGACCTATGAAGTCAAGGAGCTGTGAAGCCAGGACAGCAGTGGGTGGAAGACTAAAAGGGGAGGGAGACTGGCCAAGAGCCCCATTTTTCTCTCTCATACCTTAAGAACTATTGGAGGTGCAAAGGACATGCAGAGCCATGGGCTGAAATAACATAAAAACATTTAGCTAGTGGATATGTCATCTGGGGACCTATAGCCATGGGACAAGAGCCAGCATCAAATTTTGGATGAAGTCAGATGTCAGTAGATAATGACACTGTCTGCTATTGTGAAAGAGAAAAGTACATAAATCCTTGGGACACAAGGCATTAACAAGCTGCTAATTGTAGGAAGCGGGAAAGGGGGTTTCCCCAAAGGAAAATCCATAACTTATCACCTTCCTCATATGAGACAAGTCTGGTTATTGGCTGAGGGAGGATATGAGACAGGTGAGATGATTTATTCTGGCTTTTCCAAACCTCCTGAGTCTTAGTGACTGAAAAGGGGGTTCATCCAGCTGTACATGTCCCTGCCAGGCCATTTTCTGCATGGCTGCCCAGCTCCGTGAGCTCTCCAGTCCAGGGGCTCATCTTCTTGCACTGTAAGAAGGTCTCTCACACACAATTGACCTGCACCCACTTTCTGAAACCATTCCCAGGCAGCCAACCACGTCCACATCCAGTGGCCTTTCTCCATGAGCAATTTGCCTACGATGGCCAAATTCTGGAGACTAGGAGTTTAGCTCTACAGTAATGGTCAAAGTCAGGTCCCTAGGGTCATTGGGCGAGACATGGCCTCTTCCAGCTTCTGGAGAGGTCAAACACATTCAATTGTGACAATGAGAGGTGCCCAAAGTCTAGCATGAATGGAGGCTGTTTGCCTGTGTTAAAGTGCATCGGTCCCATGTGGCAATGACATCTAATTGCTGGAGCACAGCATTTAGGAGTTTCTTGCTGGAACCAAGAGGGGACTTTCTCATGCTCTGGTGGTTGAGACCTGATGTTTAGACCCTTACAAACTGAATGGACAGGTTGAAAGGGACCTTAAAGACCATCTAGTTTCAACCCTACTGCCGTGGGCAGGGACACCTCCCACTAGATCATGTTGCCCAAAGCCCCATTCACCCTGGTTTTGAATACTCTGGAAGGAGTCCACGGTTGACAGCTGAGTGATTTGCCTCTGGATTTATCTGGAGATATATCCTCTCTGTGGATATATCTGGAGTTTTTGCATGTAGTGCCAGAGAGTGGGGGGGATTAGGCAGTTTAGAGAAGGTGTAACTGGGGGAGTCCAGGACTGGGATAGACACAGTAAAGAGCATTCTGGTGGTTGAGACCTGATGTCTAGACCCTTAGAGGCTGAATGAATGGGTTGAAAGGGACCTTAAAGATCATCTCATTCCAGCTCTACTGCCATGGGCAGGGACACCTCCCACTAGACCATGTTGCCCAAAGCCCCATTCACCCTGGTTTTGAATACTCTGGAAGGAGTCCATGGTTGGCAGCTGAGCGATTTGCCTCTGGATTTATCTGGAGATATATCCTCTCTGTGGATATATCTGGAGTTTTTGCATGTAGTGCCAGAGAGTGGGGGGGATTAGGCAGTTTAGAGAAGGTGTAACTGGGGGAGTCCAGGACTGGGATAGACACAGTAAAGAGCAGGGTAGGAAGCCCTCGTGGACATAATGAGGTGCTAACCAGTGGAACTCTCTGCTGCTTGATGGGTGCCTGGCATGGCACTTGCAATAGCACTTCCCATTCAGGTTACAGACAGACAGCCTCAAAAACAACCCTTTAAATTCTGGGAAGGGTTAGGAGGTGGCAAACTGGGGCGGAAAAATGACTCAGCCATGGGTCAGAACCTGGGCTGGGCTAGGGCAGGACTAGGAAGAGGACTGTTTTCCCAGGTGCTGCGACAGCATGTTGACAGAAAGGCTGGCTTCCCTTCCTGCCTTGTAAACCCCTAAGAAACAAAAACAGGACTCAGTCCCTCCTGCTCTGTCCTGCACCCTTTGTCAGCAGCATGCTCATTTGGTTCAGAATATCTGGCATCACGCAGCTACTCAAGCTCTGGCTGAAGTTCAGTTTACTCTCTGGGTGGTAAGAAAAAGGGCTGAGAGCTGCTTGCTGGGTGAGGCACAAGCACAACATTTATTTGAACAACAAGGCTACTTCTTTTTTTGCCCAAGCATGTTGTTTCTTGACATTGCTGGCTGAGCAGCTTTATCAGTTCTTCTATCTTTTCCACGCTTATCAAAAAGCCTAGAATTGAGGACAGTCTCTCGAAACACCTCAATCCATCATGACGATTGAGATGCAAGAGATTTCTTTTCCCCCAGGATCAAACTACAATTCATTTATTTAAATAATATATAGCTGGACAATAAAATAGATGGTTCCTTCTTTTCAAGGGCAGCAGCTGCACTTTTCCAAAGGCTGCAGTTGTGTTATGGACTGAATGTAAACATACGATATTGCAGTGAGGCTACCTCTTACAGATGGGGAAAGTAGAATCAGAGAATAATAGAATTGTTGAGGCTGGAAGGGACCTTTCAGATCATCTAGTCCAACCATCAAGCTAACACTGACAAAAACCAGCACTACACCATATCTCTAAGTACCACATCTACTCATCTCTTAAATACCGCCAGGGATGGTGACTCCACCACTTCCTTGGGCAGCCTCTTCCGATGTTTGATAACCCTTTCAGTGTAAAAATTTAGAGTGACCACTTTGGTATGATTTTTATGGCAGGAAATGCTACAGACATGTTCAGAGTAAAAGAAAGGTGTTCTTAATTATTGTTATGATGCTGTATTTGCTACTAGTAGTATTTGTTAGTATTTATTACCTCTGCAGATAGAGATTAGGGTGTACAGTATGGCCCAGTAGAACTTACATCCAGTGCCTGTACCTGGTCTGAAAAATGTCACCAAGGTCCTGTGAATTCAACCCAATTTGTAGCAGCGGGTTAATAACATTTGATCACACTGGAGAAAGTCTCTGGGGCAGAGAGGCTGGATGAGCTGGTGTTTGTGGACTAGCAGTTCCTTGCTGTGCCCCACATATCCTTCATGGCCTGGGGCAAGTTACACACCGTCTCCATACCTCTGCCTTGTACAGATGTTATCAGGTCCAGCATATCAAAAGATGTTCAGATAGTGGCTTTAATAGGGCCAGGGGAGAGACTGAGGCTAAAAATAAGCTCAAATAGAGTCAGCTAGCATAACAGAGCTAGGGAATGATTACCCACTACCAATCCACCCTGCACAGCCACATTCCTGCTCTGAATTATCCACACACTGTTGTGCAATGAGGCTTTTAGTGATCCAGATAGACTGGGAGACAAAGCCTGCAGTTTGCTCTGCTCTGCCAGATATTAAGCCACTGGACAGTCACTAAAAGCAATCAAAAGACCTGCCTTTTTATTGCAGAACATCCCTAAAGTAACTGTACCCACCACTCACCCGGGGAAAGGCTGACGAAGACAAGTTGACTCCATGCCACCTTGAGTAATCCCACTCCCATTCTGCCACTTGACAGCT